TGTACCCTTTAAGTATCTGCACAATTCACCATACGGATTACTAGAAATAACAAGACGAGTTTTAGGATAAAAAAAGTAGCAAGCACGATTGTTAGTAAATGTTACAAATGCTTTAGGGAACCAGCCCTACACAAGTTAATGGGAAATTTATTACAAGTTATAATAAAACTTTTTTTTTCGCGAAGTTTAAGGAATAATGACTTTTGAAGAAATACGTGCATTATAACACAAACTGAAGCTATTCTTATTTCGAACCCAATTACTCCATTATGAAATAACTTAAATGATCGCCAGACTTTTACACTAGTCCATTTTTTGATAAGGCAGCCATTATCCACTATCGTTCACATATATTATAACCAAAGTTACCAGATGTTAACGGACCATTGAAAATCGGTCGAAAAGAATTCGAAACAATTCCAATGAATATTTAACTCAAGCCAAACAAATGATAAGTGTCCAAACTGCCCTTTGAAAACAATAACATTGGTATATTTTCTTAAATATGAAAATAATACCCCATCACAACGCAGAAGAGAGCACATTGGAAACTCGAGATGGCAATATAACAGTGGTTGAGTTAGGGACAAGCAATGACATATCGAAAAGAGCTTTTCTAAATATTTGTCCACTTTCTACCGAACCCTATTGGTTGGATACTGTAATGCGGTCGACTCGAATTAAAGAACAAAGGTTTATTAACCTTATTTATAGTCTTACCTTGTGTAAAATGTTTAGAAGTAGAACAGCCCATAATTTTTTTTGGAAAAAAGGGGATCTGTCAGTCCGACTGTAACTTACAAATGCTCACATCGATCTAATTCACAACATTTTTGAGAGGCCGACATAAACATCTTTAAAGAGCATAATAATTACACCAGCAGCTGCACAGCGAACGAAGATCAACGGAGGACGAACTCACTGTTACTAAATCACGTTTCCACAAAAACAGGGAAGGCTGAAAGGAATGAGAACAGCCCACTTGGCCTCTTGCGAAACCAATCTTTAGTGCAAGATGTTACATTAGATGCACTAAAACGCTAAAGTTAAGCCTATTGGAATACTTTTAAGTTATTGAACGAGTAAATTTGTGGAATCAATTAGGACACGAGTTGTTTATTGAAGCAGCTCAGTACAATAATGGAGACCTTTGTAATGCTTCAAAGAGGCATTGTACTCGACCTGTGGAGTGCTAGAGGGAACTAAAAAGATTGTGGCCTATAAACAACTTAGAATGTCAAATACCATTAAGATTAGACAATTGAGATCAGAGGTTGTGCTTCCAGATTCTGTTCTTTCCGATCTTCGCCATACAACTACGACAACAGCACAAAAATATGCGCAATTGAAAAGCAATATCCTTATGCCCATCGTCTAATGCCATAGGGCAAAATTGCTAGGTTTTGTTTGGAAACAAATGTTGTATAAAAAGTATATGCAATATTGGTACACCATATATGACCAAATCGGCATTACAACACATCATTTCCAAAAATATGCTCCCTTAATAATTTCTATTTTGGCATGACGATATATCATTAGAATAGATAGCTCACAGATTGACCAATCTACATATATAATCTAAAGTTACGCGAATATGTGAACATTCTTCTATTATATTTATGGAGGGTAGAGGCGTATTCAGCCGATTTTTTCCATTTTAGGCACAAGATACTCAGAAATAGAGTCTCTCTGAATTTCATTATGTAAGTTATCATTGACCAATATAATTATGCGGTATAAAGATCGAAAATATTTATATTGGATATAAGTGTACTAGGGGAAGTACTGACTCGATTTTATAAATTTTTGGCGTGAAAAGATTTGAAAGAAAAGATGCTCCTTGAGTTTTATCAAGATATCTCACATGTTGGCCCATATTAATATTAGGAAAAAACGTTCTTCAAACGTCATTGGGAACCTTAGAGATTGACTGCTTAGTAGTTCCTGAGGAATTATTTCACGTGAAGGTTCGCCCCACCACCACGCTCATTATTTAATTTTGTCACGCCTTTCCGTATCATAAAGGATGCGAAATGTAATGCACCTGGTCTAACTATGTATTTAGTGAGTCATGCGAAAATAAAAAATTAAAAACTTTGATTCTGCTTGTGGATTATTTTTATTTGGTCTTTTAAATTTTTTTACACCAAGTCAAGAATACGATATCATGTAAATGGCCACCACCACACTTGATTGTCATTTGAGATCTTTTTATGGCATTTTGGGCAGAACTCCGGCGATAAGTTCTCACGGATATGTTCTGACGGATATTTTCTTTAAGAGCTGCAGGAGTGTAAGGCTTCTTGACATAAGCCCGCGACTTCAAAACGTCACACAAATAGAAGTCTGGAGCGGTCAAACCAGGCGATCTTGCTGGCCAGTGCAAATCACCAAAACGGGAGATTATTCGCCCGGGAAATGCATCATTCAGCATATCGGTTGTGGCATATCGGCAGTGTAGCGTAATATTGTTTGTTTAAGTGTATTTCGCGTGTATTTACTAAACAAATGTCAAAACAGAACTGACATTAGAGGTCAATTGCAAAATTTATAGTATATTCTAATCATCTTCTGGCTTTTGCGCCACCCTGTATAACACACACACTGACCGATATATTCAGCATAAGATTTGTGACAAAAACGAAAATCATTATACGCACTATATATATATATGAAGCCAGACACTATACAAATGTTCCCTGGGTTTCATTAAGGTACTTCACATACAATCGTTAATCATATAGAGCTAAGTCAGCCGGATGTTCAAAAATGCGGACAGTATCTATTTAGGGACTAGTTCAAGTTGCCGCCCAATTTTATCCATTTTAGGCGCAAATATACAATGTTATGAGAAAAGCACGCTTTGTAATTTTCATTGAAATAGCTCATTTATTGGACGATATATGTATGTTGTACGAAAATCTATATACTAGGTATACAGGGACTAAGGGAAGTATAGGCATGATTCAATCCATTTTCGATAAACAGAATTACAGAAAGGTTGCTGCCTGATATTCAATTGCATATTTAAAAAATTGACCGACATTTTCGGTAAAAGTCAACTATACATACTGGGGTCCACACATCCGGTGCCTTTATGCTTGAACAGTTTTGTTTAGATTTGGACAATTTTTGCTCGTAAAGTGACATAATTTCAAGTTATTTTTAGTATTTTAGCCCATTATTTCAATTGCTTACTCTTTGTGTACTGGAAAGTGAAAGAATGAAATTTAAAGTTGTGATCTAAGTGAAGTGAAGTAGGCGTGGTTCCATGTACTAAGTTTTTCCGAAATCGGTCAGTTGGCCCGAGATATATTATATCACCAAAAAGTGGGATGTGCCCCTCCGTTCAATTTTCACACCATGAAGCCTTGTCAGACCATCTCAGAGGTGAAATTTAATGTCTCTTTCGTAATTCTTCATCTTATTTACTGACGTAGACACTGCTTATGCGGCTATAGCCGAGTTAACAACAGCGCGCCAGCCGTTTCTTCTTTTCGCTAATATGCGCCCCCGACGGGTTCTGATTCGAATACTTTCAGAGCTGGAGTGTTTTCGCCCATTCGGACAACATGACCTATACAGCGTAGCCGCTGTCTTTTAATTCGGTGTACTATGTCAATTTCGTCATGTATCTCATACAGCTCATCGTATCATCGAACACGATATTCGCCGTGACTAACGCGCATCAAGTTGCGGCAAAAAGAACTCGTTGATCATTGTTCTGTAGCGCTCACCACTCACAGTAACCGTTTGGCCCGCGACGTCTTCAAAGAAAAAGGTCCGATGAATATTCCAGCGAAAACAGCACACCATACAGTGACTTTGAGCGTGTGTAATGGCTCTTCGTGGAGTGCCCCAGAAGCGTAATTGAGATTGTTTATGTATCCGCTAAGATAATCACTAATGATAATTTTCGATTAAAATCATCTTTCTCTTGGTGGTAATTAAGAATGGCTTGAGCATATGTTAGACGCGATTGGTGGACAGCGGCTAACAGTTAATGCACCGTTTGGACTTTGCACTTAAACATCTTCAAATCTTTACCAAAATTCTCTGTAAACACCGTCGACTGATACCCATCTGGTCGATGTCGACGGCGCTTTCATGACATCCTTTACAACCGAATCAATATCCTCTGCAGAACGGCGTCGCAGTGTTTCACCTGTAGGCGTCAGACGGCCAGGAAATCTGCGACGAAATTCGCGTTGTGCCAAAGTCACTAACCGATTATTCGTCAAATAAATTGTCACCAATAACCCGTGTTCTGGAGCAGTGTAGCATAGCATTGTTTATTTACTTGTATTTCGCATGTGTTTACTACACAAATGCCAAAACAGATCTGACATTAGAGGTCAATTGCAAAATTTATAACATCTTCTAATAGGAGGATTACTTTTGCGCCACCCTACAGCGCATTTATTTCTTTTAAACAGACGGACGGACGGACAAACAGTTACCCGGACTCCAATTCGTCTTGTCATCTTGATAATTAATATATATGTTTTATTAAACTCAATATTTATCTGGGATACTTTTAGGTGGTACAGACAACCGATATTTGTACCGGTGATTACGCTATGTGCCGATATGTTCATTTGATTATTATTAAGCACATTTATAAGACAACTATATATGTAAATACATAAGTTAAGATAAGGAATTTGAGTACGGTTTCAACCTTCAACATCAATGGTAAAATTTAACCATGCATTCGGTGTAACACAAAAATTACTTTTTTCTAACAATATTTGTACATATCATTCAATGCCATTTGCAAGGTAAAAAACCTTCAGTATACATATAATTTTTTATTTAAAAAATTAAGATTTTAAGTCACATTCTGACAAGCAAATTTCACAAAGGACCTTTAAAGAACGAGAAACTCACTGTATGAGTTACTGTAGAGTGTAACAAAAAAATTGTGTGGTCATGTTACTCACTGGAGCGCAGTTTTAGTAAATACAAGTAATATTCTTATAATAACATTAAAATACCTGTTCAGTTTCGTTCTTCAATTTTGTTACTAACGAAGAGGATGAAATTGTGGTTGATGTAGGCAACGTTAAGCTTTCATTTGTATTACTGATCGTAGACATTTCTATAGTTTCTATGCGTTTCCTATGAGATGGAATGTGTACTGTTTCTGAACCACTATTTCCTATTCCCGAACCATTATAAGCACCGTCGTCTTTAACATCTAAGTCAGTATTGTTCGCCATAAGCATGAAGTTTTCAACAATTATCTTCTTACAGCCAGAAATTCTTTACACTTCTTCAAATTGCTTTTAAAACCAACCTGATACCATCATAGTATACGATAAAACCAACTTATATTGTTTACGATATGTTGTAGGTTGCAACAAATGTTATCTGTAACAAATTTAAATATTTATTTTTCACAATGTATTCATCTAATTATTGTACGACTACATTTTTCATCATGTTAGAAAACAATAATATCAAATTAAATGGGTTCAGCATTTATTTATGTTCTTTATAAATAAAGCAGATGAGAAAGGATAGGATAATAGAAGTCTCTAAATTAAGATAATAACCTATCTGTATTTAAAAAATTAGTATCTTTTCTATTTGAATATTATTTCATTATTCACATTATATTATTTCACATCCGCCACATATAGTACTTTGACCATGTAAGCGGTAACTCAAGTAAAAATTTAAGCATCTACATTTCAAAAATCGTGGGAACACATGTTATTAAGCAACTTACGAGTATTAAGAAACATATCTTAAATTGAACTTAGTGTTAGAAGACATAATTGTTGTTCTCAATTTATGAACGAGGAGGGAGTAATGCGTAAAAGTTCACGCAAGTGAGGAAAGTTTTCTGATTACCATTCATTTGAGACTCCCCGACGGAAGAGAAGGACTATGGGACCAAAGATGAAATCTATGTGCGCGTGGAGCGCACCAATGAGACGTCACGATATCAAAGTCGTGCTTGACTACTTTAACCCAGAGTGGGCAAAGAACGTATCTTTGGCACAACAGTAGGTTGTATTAGACTCCAAGAGGAAACATTCACAAATGGATTGAGGCTGATCGACTCTGCCGATGGCCGAAATAAGGTTATCTATAGTACTAGTTTCCTGCATAGAAAAATTCGCCAAGCCACTTGGCTGTCTCCGGATCGAAAAGCCACCAAACCAGTTCGATCATGTTGTGATAGACCAAAACCCCGTCTCAAACATCAAATCGGAACACGGCTCTACGATGAGGATGATGGTACTAAAATTATAGAGGAGACACTTCTCCAGTCTGCTGAATGGCTGTGAGAGCATAGAACCAGGGGATGTCGAACCAGATTCCGATGGAGCAGATGTTCCATTGCTCGCCCATGAAGAAGTTTGAAGCATTTACCCGTCTGAAGAACAACTAATCGGCGGAGCCCGATGGATTGCCGGCCGAGCTACTGAAACACGACGGCGAAGAACTGATAAGGGACATGCATCAAATTCCTTGAAAAATATAGTCGGACGTAAGCATGAACACGGTTTGAAATTTAAGTGTGTTTCAACCAATCCACAAACAGGGGGACTCCACAATCACCGCCAACTACCGTGGGATAAGCCAACATCGCGTATAAGGTTCTATCGAATGTATTGTGTGAAATATTAAAGCCCACCGTCAACAAACTGATTGGACCTTAACAGTGTGTCTTGAGACCTGGCAAATCAACAACCGGTCAGATATTCACCATGCGCCAAATTTTGGAAAAGACCCGTGAGAGGAGAATCGACGCACACCACCTTTTCGTCAATTTCAAAGCTGCTTTCGACAGCATGAGAAGGAGCTGCCTTTATGCCGCGATGTCTGAATCTGGTATCCCCGCAAAACTAATATGGCTGCGTAAACTGACGTTGAACTATACCAAAGGCTCCATCAGGATCGGGAACGGACGACCCGCTATCGTGCAACTTCTTCAATCTGCTGCTGGAGAAAATAATTCGTGCTGCAGAACTTAATCGAGCAGGTACAATCTTTTATAAAAGTATACAGCTGCGGACGTATGCCGATGATATTGATATCTCGAGCTCTTTGTCTGCGATGGGTGGTAGTTTTTCTACAAGAACGCCGTTCACCGGAAAGGAGTCGGTGAAGGTGTTTATAGCTCCACTGTGAATGGCGGTCAGTACCTGTATGAAGGCAGTTGCGTCCGAAGTCTGGTCGGCGTACTATACGAAAGCAGTATTCTGGCAAGTCTGGAATTTGCTCATCTGCGTACCACTGCAACCAGGCGACCATATTGGTGCTGCGTAGTTGAGGACCAGCCTGCCGATTGCCTTGTTTGTTGCGAAAAACGTTTCCTTGTCTTTTCTCCATGTGCTGCCGGCTAGCGACTTGAGGATTTTGTTGCGGTTCTGTACCTTGGCGAAAATCGCAATCGAATGGAGAGTGAAGGAGCATAGACTATCAAAAGTTACACCTAAAATCTTTGGGTTATTGACAGTCGGAATTCTGACGCCCTTGACTATTAAGTTCAAGTATATACTCCTTCGTCCAGTTCGTAAAAATTCGCTTTAGCATGAGCATGTTGATTCCATCAGATCCAGTGGATTTAGGAGATTTCGATTTGTTGATGGCATTCTGAACCTCCCCATCGGTGAAAGTAAATTGAGGCGGATTCTTTCAGCCGGGATGAAACGAGCAGCAGCTGCTGCGATCACCTTCTGGAATCGACGTTTGTCAACATATATGTACGTCCGCAGAAATGGGAGTAATTTTCTGTGAAGCCGACCCTGTTAGCTTTGGTAAAATTAATAAAGCTGCGGTTATCCATAGAAACAAAATCAAGCAATTGGTATATATTCTTAACTTAAATATCCACTGAACTGTTTTATTTACTTTAGTTTAAATGCTCACTTGAATTTATTTATCATAGAAACTTTTTTTATTTGTGTTTTCACTTAATAAAATATTATTTCAAAAAGAAAAATTAACTTCACCTTTCATGTGCAAGTTATTTCCCGTTTTTTATCATCCAGTCAAAATAATATTTTTTTAATGTTTACTTCCGCGGCAGTACAATCGTAATGGTGGACTTTACAATACGCAAACTGAGCTGTTCTCATAATCGGTTTTTCGTTTTTATATACATATGTAAACGTGGTGCTGATTCATGCCTTGCGCAACAATCAATGCAACCGAAATGCTGTTTACCCGTTGCGTCGATATTGCTGATTCAGGCCACAGCCAAGCGTTTCGGGCAATTGCGTACTTGCTTGCGTTCTTCGTCAAAACTTGTATGTCAAGTTAAAAAATTAGCTGTAGGTCTCTGCAAAGTTTTAAGATTAAATGTCAGTAGCTAACACAAACTTTTTTAATTGGTCACACTTTGAAAATCATGAGTTTTCTAATATTATTGATCCCTCACAATTTAACGAGGAGTAATGGTAGCATATTCAAAAACAATGTAGAAACTGTGTCTTTACAATGCTGGCTAGTTGCTTAATATAATAATTACCGCAATACTGCAACCCTGTTACTAACTTGATACTATGTTACTGATGCCCAGCTGATACTTGGCTGCAATATGCAGTAATTATTCCTATCAAAACTCAAAAATCTAAAACACATATATTTAGATGATTTTACATGCGAATTAGTTACCAGACAGCCTCATTTCCGAAAGCTTTGACTAGGCATAATTTTCTACTAATTTTTCTGAATACCAAGTGTTTAAAAAGATACAAAATTTATATAGAACACAAGTTTTTAGATAAAAATAAATTTTGTCTTTATTTTGACAATATAAAGTAATGAACTTATAAATCTTAATATTAAAAATGTTTTTATTTTGATTTGATTTTGTTTTGTTTTATAGGGTAGAGGGGGTGGATGCTTAACTAATTTCAACGTCCTGGGCCCCCTAGGCGAATATTTTGCCTAGTTATATATATATAATCTGATATCTGTTGGCGGAGCAACCGAGGCCGCAGAATATTAGCTGTAAGAAGCGATTGTGGTTCTAATAGCCAATTGTATTTTGTGTAAATATTGGTGTTGAGGTAATAATTGATTTTACGTGCTTTGACGACTTTTTGTATTATTATAAGAAAAAGTAATTTGCTTTTATTAATTTTATTAGCTGTTACTTATCGCTTTGATATACCGGTAGTTTATTATATGCCTTCTCTGTATTATCGGTAATATTTGGACTTTATTTATTGTCGGCTTGTGAAGGATAGTAACTCCATGCCAGGCCAGATATGGCCAGAATAGATACTCCTTAGCCCTGGAGTTAGGACTGTGACAATAGAGGGATCTTGCGAGAGAATGGCCGTGAATTGAGAACGGCTCGCCTCGTGAAATAGAGAATTCTTTATAATCAATTTGAAGCTTTGTACAGTTGGTTCCCATAACCCACCCATGTGAGGAGCGCTTGGATAGATGCGATAAAAGCGACCTTAGCTTTGAAAGCGTAGGTGCGTTAATGTATAGCTTTGGGAGTATTGTGATCCCTTAATTTACTTTTTGATTTTTTTTTTATATATGAGAATGTATGCCTCTATGGGGCACACAATATTGCCCACACAATGTGTAGATTGACGACTTTTGGAGACAATTTTGTTATTTTTTATGTTTAAGTGCATATTCACTTATCTGGCGTTTAGTATCACGCAATATAACTTCAGATTTTTGAATCAGGATTTTGTATCATTTTTGGCGAAAGCCATCCTGCGGGCCGAAAAGTTGTATGTGTAGGGACTGTCAGAGGAAACTCTGATTTTGGTTTTTATACCAATTTTTGGAGTATTGGAAAATGGGGGCTTGAGTGGTAGACGTACGGCGTTCCGGCCATTATTGGATCGAGTAGTTGTGGCTTTAGAGAAGCCTTTACAATACTGATCCTTTTTTATTTAATATTTGGGGAAGCTTCCCTATGTCTTGAAATTTCCTTAATCGTGAATTAAGGTATTGATTTGGTTTTTTCTCAACTTGAGTTGTCATGGTGGTAATTGGTTTTGTAATTAGTCCACTTTGTGTTTCACTGTGCAGCGTTTGATCTTTTTGAGCGTTTGCGCAACATGGTGTCTCTTGGCAATTTTTCGAGTTTTGCATTTCGGGATTTGCTTTTGCAATTAAACCCGTGGTTCTTTTTGTATAAGCGCTTCTTTGGGGTGAAATGGGATATGTGCTGTAATGAAGCATTGAATGGTATCTTTTATGACAATATGAGCAATTGTCATCACTATGACGTGTGATCTCTATTTCTTTTACATATACTCATACACTTGTTTATTTTCGTCTATGTACTCATTTTCATTCATTTTCTGTATTTGTTAATTTTGAGTATAAGTTTGTATTCAATGCTAATGTAAAGTCAGTTGACAAGAAGTAATAAAACC